ATTAAGTGCGCCCTATATCCCACCCATCCCACCCCAGGGGAGGACATCCATCACACAGTAATCTCGTGTGTGGGAAATTAACGTCTCCTACCCCAACCCTGCAGGAGACGGGACCTCCATTTATTCGTCCCTATCCGAGAAGACTAGAATATCTAACCATTTCTTGATGTCATAGAAAGGTAGCAAATTCTTCTCAATTATTTTAAGACCCTGAGTGTTGGTCCGGCCGGGGCTCGAACCCTCGACCTCCCACACAACAGTCCAGCACTCTATCCATTGAGCTAACCGAGAGGCGGTTAACTAACCGAGAGGCAGTTAGCTAACCGAGAGGCGGTCATGTACACGATGTTTCAGAGGTTAAGGAGGGAGGTGAATTGTGGACTGTTCATGATTTATGGCAGATTGTGGAATTAGTTTTGTGTTTAAATTCTGATATGTTTTTACATGACAATCAAGAAATTATAGAGAAATGTAGTTTTTTCAACACTCACTTGCATGTAGTGAATTTGTTGTGGCTCAGCTGGGTAGGTCTTGTCTGGTATATTGATTGAACTGACTCATGAACTGATAATGTCCTGTTTGGTGCCCTTCTGTCCAGATTTTGGGCTGTAAATAAAGAACCTAATTTCTGGTACAATAGAAGCAGACCATTAGTTCATTTGTATAGTAAGATACCTTTCTTACTATTCATTGTGTCCTGAGTTGGGGAAAAGGGTTTCACAGGATTGCTACAAGATTAAGTCAATATCAATCAACCAATAAACTTTGTTTTACTTGGGCAGTTCATCAGCTATTTAAGATGATTTTGTTTTTAGTGCCTTTTATTTTTGTCTCAATGACAATTACATGTAATCTCCATTGTTGCAATTGGTTAACATGGGGAAGTACTGTTAAGTGTTTTCACTATTAAGAGAACCAAAAAAATTCTATCAAAGTGATGAATTACATTACTACACTCTTAACTTGTACATAAATATCTTCCTTTGGGCCAATAAATTTGTTGTCTTTCATTTCATGTGTGGCAAAATGTTGTATAATTTTCTTCAAATGTCAGCATGAGTTATGTGTGTACCATTTTACTCTTAATGTACTCAGACTGCCTGATTCTCTTTGCATTTATTTGTGTTTCTATAGGAACACGTCTCTGCATGAATTCTCCAGTCGACCCAGCATTGCTGCAATTAGTTCAAGTGAAGGTTAAGTCACTTCAAGATGTGGTGGATAACATGTGTAGAAAATTTAACCAACAAAAGACTAAAATTCAGCAGGAGCTGCAAAACATTGCAGTTACCCTGAATTATATGGAAAAGAGACTTCAGAGGCTAGAGATAGGACAACAGAACTTGAAGAGCCATGTGGATGATTTAAAAGGTGCTTTGAAATATTAATCAAATTATGAAATGAAACGAAATGATCCAATTGTGGTCTTAATTATGACTATGTTATTGCATGGCTGAACAGTTTTAAATTAAGAATGACTATTGGAAGAATTTCCAAATACAACAAATTTTTGCAAGCAGAGTGCTCAGTTAAGGGTTTTTCATCTTGGACATTACTTATTCATGCATGAACAAAAACTGCATCTAGACTCACCTGCATGTAATGATTGAGTGTAAATTCTCTTGGTTTACTTCATCAGTTAATGAATTTGTATCTTTTATTGGTGAATGGCTGTTTAAGAAACTCTTAAATATCATGGTAGTCAATTTACAATTATCAGCTCAGTTGAGAAAACCCAATTTTCTTATGATTAGCTATGATTGCATGAGTGGTTGCATGTAAATGCAGCTTTCTTGTTTTTAAATTTGATTTTTTTTAAATCTAGGCTATTCTGTTTTCCTCATCCTCTGACATTTCCCTTTTGTTGTAGGGTGCATGCAGGAGAAAATGGAGAAGCTAGAGAGTGGTCAGCAGACTACAGAGAGGCGCACTGTCCGTAATGAAGATAATATTCGCCATCTGCGAGGTAACATTTCTTTTTTGTATGAATGACACAAACAAGTATCATAATTATTTCTTCCTTTGCACAAAAGAAATGAAAAACAGTGAGTGCTCATGTACCTTTAATAATCAACTGTTCATGAAAGAATATTCGCTCTGACGAAGGGCTAACGCTCGAAACGTCAGCTTTTTAACTCTTTACGGTGGCCAATTTACAATTTCAATTTAGTTGATATAACCAAATTACCTTGTTACCCCCACCGACACAGCACCACAGATTCTTTAGAAACTTACCCCCTTTGTTCATAAAGAATTGGGCAAATAAACTACTGCTTCTTGAATTTATTCTAGTTTGAGCTTAGTGACTCCTGCATTTTTTTTCTTATTTTCTATTATCGCCGCCCGATAAAAGTATTGCCACCTGGTTAGCTCAAGTGGTAGAGCGCCGGACTGCCGTGCGGGAGGTCGAGGGTTCGAGCCCCAGACCGGACCAACAGTCTGGGTATTAAAATAACTGAGGAGAATGTGCTCCAACTGATCTATTAGATCAAGAAATGGATATGCTCTCTATACTCTTCTCGGATAAGGACGAAAAAACCGTAGGTCCCGTCTCCTGCATCTTCTCTGCACTGGTTAGCAGGGGATGTTAAAGAACCCACACACTTGTCGCAAAGGTATCCGGACTGATCGCCCCGGGGACTACTCGCCCCACACATACTCTGGACTAATTGCCACACATCAGAGACGACGTGCCCCACAACAACTGGGACTAAAGCGCTCTCATTATGAGTTTCGCATTACTTCTAACACGGCACATTAACGTACAAAAACAAACATGATAACTAGATTATTTGGAAATAAAGTTGACCAGATGTTAACCGCGCGTGTGTAATGAGTAAGATTATTAGTCTACCCGGCCGCCCGCTTTGTTTGCCTTCCCGTTGTTAAGCACGAGCAGAACCCGACTCAAAAACTTAAAGTGCTCTCGTTATGAGTTTCGCATTACTTCTAACACGGCACATTACATACAAAAACCTCTTTTGTTTCACTGCCGGCATTTCGATCCGGCCTTGCCTTTAAAAACCTGGGGCTGCAGCCTTTGGAACCACAGAACTTGCGGCACTGGAATTGACCGCCAGCGTTACCGCGGCACTCAGCGTACATTTAACTCTGATATAGGGCGATCACTCCCAGTTGATGTGGGGCATATCGTCTCTGATGTGGATCGATCAGTCTAGAGTAGGTGTGGGCGAGTAGTCTCTGGGGCGATCAGTCCGCAATTCGTCACTAAGAGTAGGGAACGTAGCTCCCAGTGTTGGGGTCTGGCCAGTTTATTGAAATTGGGCTAGGGGTTAGGGAAAGGTAATTTACTTAGTAGGGAACAACCTTGTCCTGTTGTTAATTTACCTACCTTTGGCAAATTGTTAAATGGAAATACAATATAATCAAAGTAATTTTCTCCCATGATACAGAGCAAGTAGATGACTTGGCTAAATCAAAAGAAGCAGACGTTAAGAGATCATACCAGGGAAGTCCCACGATAGCCAGTAGGTTTTCCAAGATTTGTACAATGATTATTCGTTCTTAGACCCTCCTAGAGGGTGGTCTAACAGCGTCGTCAAGATGGGTACAAGATCGTTTTGTTGGGAAATTATCTTTTTGCATATGACAAAAGACTGAATAAATTGTCTTCTAATGTAATAATATAATAATAATATACAGTTTTATAGAGCGCTAATTCCCAATGGTCCACATTTTTCCTTTTTCATTACATGTCCTTGGATGTCAAAATACTTATGACGACAACTGGCAGATCACACCTGTATTTTTGACTGAATTAAATAACGTTTATTACTTTTCATTATTTAGAATCAAACCGTGAAACTGAATACTCGTTTACCAAGATTAGTGACAAATTATCTTCTGATTTAAAAAAATGTTTTAATTTTAATCTCACAATCTCTTTGACTTCATTTCTTTGAAGTCTTCTTCTAAATAATTCCTGTGTAAGAACGTAGTCGCTCTTGACTCGCTAGGTTTGTGTTAGCGGCACAACTTTGCTTTTTCCGCGGTGTAATGTAGAAGTTGATTGACCTTTCACCAAACAGTACCTGTCTTTTGTTTTCCCAGTCTTTCCACAGAAATTTGTAGAGCTCATCAAACGAAAATACAAAGGTGCTGTACTTTGTCCCTTCCCATGGTGTGAAGATGAACTACAACTGCAGCTTTCCAAAGTTTTTACAAGACTTAAGATAGTTGGCAAGAAGAAAGAACGAGCAAGACTGACAGAAGAAACCGTCTCTATGACAGATGCGTTTCGATCACATGAAGAATGTGAAGTGCCCAGAGTGGTGCTGATTGAGGGGCAACCTGGGATAGGAAAAACCACTTGCTGTCTGAAACTTGCATATGATTGGTCTATGGAGTGCATTTCAGCCGAGGCCTGTTTTCCTAAAGTGGAGATACTACTTATGTTGAACTGCCATGACATGAAGACTGCTGACATTAAAGAAGCTATTTATGATCAGCTTTTGCCTCTTGATGCCGAAGAGAAGGAGAAGGAAAACTTCTTTTGTTTTATCCACCATAATCAATCTAGGATCGTACTGGTTCTTGATGGATTGGATGAATTGAGTGAGACTCTATATAGGAGATTATTACCTTTGATTAAAGGCAGAGTCTTTCCAAGCATTTACCTCATTTTAACAGCTCGTCATGAGTTAGGAATGAAGGTGCGTCGTTATTGTGACACACTTCTCGAAATTGTTGGCTATACTCTAGAGGATGCCAACACCTACATTGAGAAGTACTTCAGCAATCACGATCATCCAAGTCTTGCGAAGAAACTCATTAAGAATTTAAGGAAGAATCCTCAGCTCAGGGAATTGACTGCTAATCCTCTTAACACTGCTCTTCTGTGCCTTATTTGTGAAGATTCGCTGGGAAAACTCCCCTTCAATAAAACCATGTTGTATAATGAGCTTGTCTCATGCGTGCTAATGAGATATGCACAAAAGAAAGGAATATCTTTGGATAGAAAGGATCCTATCGAGGTTTTTACAGAGCAACTGAATCAGTTGGGCGAGTTGGCACTTGAAGCCTTGCTTAGAGATCAACTGTATTTTACTACAGATAAGCTGCAGGGTCAATCAACTGAATTTCTTGACTTTGGTCTTCTTTCTCGAGAAGCCAGTGCAAGTAAAATCAGACCGAAGCTAAGTTATGCGTTTACACACAAGACCTTTCAGGAATATTTCGCAGCATTTCACCTAGCCCAAGAGCTGCTGACTGATGGTAAGGACAAGGCTGCCCTGCTTTCTCGCCTCAGTCCTCCTGATAAGTACTGGTCGGTGTGGGAGTTCCTCATCACAATGGCATCAAGGAAAAGCGGTGATGTAGCTGTTTTGTTGGTGTCAAGTTTGTGTGCTTCCTTACAGCACAAAATGCCAGAGCGCTTTTGCTATCATAATTACTTAGCGGAGGAAGAAGATAGCGATGTCGATGATGATAGCCATGACGGAAATGTTGACGATGACGAAGACATTGATCGGGACGACCCGCTTGATACCGATGTCGACTTTGATACCGATGTGAACTTTGATACCGATGTCGACTTTGATCCCAGTCTCATCATTGAAACCGATCACGATATCGACCTTTACAACTATCACCAGTACAGAATTGATCCTTGCGTTTGCGAAGATCGTTCATTCGACTGGCCTAAACGTTTGGGATCGAGCATATTGTCAGGAGGAATTAGGGAAGTTGTTCTCACTAAAACAATTTTTCTCATTGCTCAATGCGAAGAACCTAAAAGTGAGCTGAAGGATTACCAGAAGAAAATGGCATATGAACTGGCACGCTGCTTCCCGCTGGATAAATTAAAAGTTAGCCATTTGTATACTCAAAAAGACTCACTCCTCGGCTGTAGTTACATACAGGTTTTCTCTGAATACCTTAAGGTCCACTGCCAACTGACACGTTTAGTGTGGCTTGCCGAGTTAGACAAGGCAGCATTAGTAACAATTGAACACATCCTTCGATCAAGTGTTAAGCTGACTTACTTACATTTGAATAATGACTTGCGCAGCACATCACTCACACCGGTTCTTCGGGCAAATCGCACATTGACGCATCTCAACCTACGCAATGCCAAGATCCGAAATGCAGGAGCTGAGGCATTAGAAGAGGTTCTTCGAGAAAACTGCACTTTGACACATGCGAGTTTGCGTGATAACGAGATAAGTCATATTGGAGCAGAAGCTCTAGCGAGAGGCCTCGAGTTCAATAAGGTATTGGTACATTTGGATATAAGAAACAACTGGATCGGTAATCAAGGTGCTGTGGCATTTGCTAAAGCTTTTGAGTTGAATTCTACTTTAAAGTATTTTGATGTAGGTATCGACTACATAACTCCACGAGAACTTGAGTACATTCTTGATTCAGGGATTAATGCAATTGCAAAGTCCCTGCGATCGAATTGTTCGCTGACTTACTTAGATGTTCGTGGAAGTATCTTTAGTGACTCATCGGCGGCGGCTCTTGGAGAAGCTCTTCGATCAAATCGTACCCTAAGTCATTTGTATTTGAATAGCCCATTGATTTGCTCCCAACTGGAAAAAATGGGAATTCAGTTCGGCAATTTAGCAGCAGCAGCCTTTAAAAGGGCACTTCAGTCACGTGATACAAAGATTACCCATTTAAACTTGAGTAATACTTCGATTACATCTTCATGTGCGAAAATCCTTGCTGAGGCCCTCCATTCTAATACAACTCTTATCCGTTTGGATTTGAGTGAGAACAAAATTGATTCTCGTGGCGCAGAAGCTATTGCGAATGGACTGAAATCAAATCGGACCTTGACACATTTGAAGCTAAGAGTAAACCAAATCAGTGATGCAGGTGCAGTACGATTTGCACAGTGTCTACAGTCTAATCGTACTCTATTGTATTTGGATCTGATTGAAAACGGTATTAAGCGTTCAGGCGCCGCAGCCATCGCAGAAGCGCTGAAATCAAATTGGACTCTGACACATTTGCAGCTGGGATGGAACGAAATGGGCGATACGGGAGCAATGAAATTTGCAGACACTCTTCTAAGTAACAAAACTTTAATTTTTGTCAGCCTTATATATAATGAGTTTAGTGAATCTGGCAGAAATATGCTTGTAGAGATTGAACCGCTCATCAGCTGTAAGTTGAGGATTTAATTGTAAGACTGTCTGAGGTGTTTGTCAGACGTTCATCTGCTAGTCAAAAACCTCAAAAAAACGTAGAGATGTAAACAGTTTTTATTCTGACTATGAATACGTGAAAATCATAGATGTGAACTGCGGATTAAGAAATGGATATGAAAGCGATCTTCGCAGTTGTGAAGAGCACTTGAGTGAAAATGAGGCCTGAAAAAATTTCGAGCCTTTAAGGGAATTTGAATCCATGACCTCTGCGATACCTGTGCAGTTCTGTACCAAGGGAGCTAACATGCCAACTGGGAGCTATTCATTATGAACCAACATTCAGGAACTAAATTTTTTTCAGGCCCTATCTTCAATACTGCTCAAGTAGTGTTCCTTACTGCGAATATCTCTTTCATATTCTTATTTTTATTCTCTTGTCAAAAAGTGCACGAACGAACATGTGTCAGATGATAATCTGTTAACGAACACATAGGAGATGGGATGGTATGAAATTAACAGTACCTCATTCTTAACTCGTGAATTGCGCATGCGCAACACGAGTTATCGTGGGTAATGAGAAAATGCGGTCTCACGATCGCTCGCTGGGCTGTAAACATTATGCAAATGAGGTACGCTCGCTACTTACTTTTAAATGGCTAACCATCCTTAACTGAAATAAGTTGTTTTAAAGGTCTAATTAACGAGATATAAGCTTAAAGGAGACGGTCACCGAAAATGAGAACGTTAAGAATCGTAGTAAAAATCGATGGGCAGCACAAGTTCTCACTTCATGCAGACTTTGTATTGATTTTACAGAAACGGAAGTTGTTGAAGTACGGTTAAGGTACGGTAAATGCGCATATGGCGAGCGAATCGATAAACGACAAAGCATTTATTCATTGTATAGTCAAAAACAACGGAAAGAAATGGTAAAATAGCATTAACCTGGAGTCGATCGCGAGCCCGCGGAAGAGTAAACTCATCTACTTCTCACTGTGCTAAGACAGCGGCACATGGCATTGTAAATATATTTATCTTATAAGACGTTTTGTTGTGTAGTATCGCTGAGTATTTTTATGAGTTGTGCCGTATTTTGACGAGCCCGTGGCCACAACTATCAGAACTCTAACACGACGCGCGCAACTAGTATGCAACACGACAGATAGCTTATCCGACGAGAACAAATGCCGTTACCGTGTTTTTTCAAAGAACAACTACAACGAAGACTTTATTCGACGAAACACTCACCGACTTACTACTACTACCGAAACAAACGACAGTGCAATTCCTGCGACTACAGCAACCATACCGTACATGAAAGGCATGTCTGAGAATATCTCGCACATCTTACAACCCTTCAATATCCGCGTTGCCCACAAACCCATCACCACACCATGTCAGTTACTACTGACACTTGCAAAAAGTGGAACGTACGATCCAGGACTAAGTGATCACTGTATGGCATACGGAGAAATGAAAGAGAAAGTTCATAAGCACAGAACGAAGGTAACTACCTACAGGCAGACGAGCATCCTCGGAGACCCAAGGGCTGTGGGTCGATTTCAAGTTAAGGGCAGAAGAGCCCCTGGGGACATTGTCTTACAAGACTAGTTCCAAACGGTCGCAGTCGTTCTGACATCTGATTGGTGCCAGAAAATCTTTGTGTTTTTCTGCCCAATCAGAGTAAAGTGTCTTTTCGTGTGTTTTAACACGCACATATTCAACAAGCTCTTTTGCTCGCTATGGTCTCACCACACAATGTAAGAGAAATCGATCAGATTGTCCGCGAAATCTTACCGGAAATTATACTGAATACTTTCGCAGGTATCACAAGAGAACGTGTTTCACAAGGAGATATGTTTTCGGACAGTTACCGAAAGGGTTTGAAGAAAGTTAATCTTTCAACTGCTGCGTTGAGTGTTCAAATTCTTGAGCTCGAAAGGCCACGGATTCTCTTCTAGTCCCTTGGTCATTGTCATTTCACCTCTTTTGTCGATTGTTGAAGACCAAGTTAATTACCTTTGATCATTGGGAATCGATTCTGCTTTCATTGGGGAAAACAAAACCAAAGACAAAGAAATATTGGATGGAAAGGGCGAGCTTGCTTTATTGTAAATGTCAGCTTAGTACAGGGTTATCTACCCACATCTAATAAACAAAAGTTTCCACGTTTAGCTTTTCTTTTTAATTTTTCAAGCGAAGATTAGATTAGATTTTTGCCGGGCGTGCACAAAAAAATGCGTAAGCGCCAGTTGCTCGANTTTGCAAGCTCGCCCTTTCCATCCAATATTTCTTTGTCTTTGGTTTTGTTTTCCCCAATGAAAGCAGCATCGATTCCCAATGATCAAAGGTAATTAACTTGGTCTTCAACAATCGACAAAAGAGGTGAAATGACAATGACCAAGGGACTAGAAGAGAATCCGTGGCCTTTCGAGCTCAAGAATTTGAACACTCAACGCAGCAGTTGAAAGATTAAACTTTCTCCAAACCCCTTCGGTAACTGTCCGAAAACATATCTCCTTTGCACGATGTTCTCGATAATTAGTATTTTTTCCGGAAACACAGCTAAACTTTCTTTAAGCGCTTGCTGGAGGTCGTCCGCTAACTTAACGTTCTCTTCAACTTTGGCCATATTGTAAAGCAACGATTAGAATTTGGCGCGCATAGAAAGCTAAGTAAGTGTAAGCGCCAGTTGCTTGACATACCTGCGTGGCCCGTGCGACGAAATAACTTCACGGGATTGGAAAAGTTTCAGTCACAACACTGAAATTGTGCAAAAAATCTAAAAAGATTTAAGCTTACATCTCATCTAACTTTAAAGCGACATATCAGTGCCTGCAACCATTATGTTTTATACGAACCTTGCAAACTTTTAAACACGTTCTCTTGTGGTACCTGCGAAAGTATTCAGTATAATTTCTGGTAAGATTTCGCGGACAATCTGATCGATTCCTCTTAGATTGTGTGCTGAGACTGAAACTTTTCACCTCGGGCAAAGCCTCGTCGCACGGCCTAAACAAACATAGCGAGCAAGAGAGCATGTTAGATATGTGTGTGTTAAAACACACGAAAGGACACTTTACTCTGATTGGGCAGAAAAACACAAAGATTTACTGGCACCAATCAGATGTCAGAACGACTGCGGCCGTTTGGAACTAGTCTTGTAAGACAATGTCCCCAGGGGCTCTTCTGCCCTTAACTTGAAATCGGCTCACAGCCCCTGGGTCTCCGAGGATGGCAGACGAGAAACACTGATTTTGAACAGCTCATCCACGAACTTCTAGAAGCACCGTGGCATGTGGGTGAAATGTTCACTGATGTAGATGATAAGTACGACTATTGGACCGCTCTCTTTGATTGCACAGTGAACGCATACGCCCCCATCAAAAGAAAACGTGTGCGTGAAAAGGACGTACCCTACATGACCTCAACTTGGAAAAAGGCGATAAGGAATAAGAGGAAACACGCCATGCTGTTTGCGAAGAACCGAACGCCAGAGAACATGGAACTTAAAAGAAAGTACAGGAATATTGCCACACGCGAACGGAGGAGGACTATTATGGAAA